ACATGGGTGCTTATTCTAATATTAAAAGTTTTGCATGTTTAATTATATGATTGCATATAGATTTAAAAATTTCCCTCCAAATTCCATTACTAAAATTATTAAATAACTAAATATTCCTTTGTTTTATATAATGCTGGAAGAAGAAAGCGTTCAGAAATCTATAATCTTATTGTTTTAGAAAATGATGTTTTATGAATTAAAAGAAAGTAGTCATAAAAATCTATTGATTCTTTATCTGGTGATCCACCTGGCCATTAAATAAACCCAAACCAGAAAGCACTAAAAAAAAAAAAAAAAAAAAAAACAGCCCCAAACACCACATAAACAAAAGTAGAGCTACTGATCCATGAACCCCTAAATCCCCATTATCCAGTTTAAATCATTACCAACTCATGGGCAGTTTTATTTCATCTATACTCCTAAGGGTTCTGCCTCCTCTCAGATTATTTTTCAAGCAAATATCAGACTCACACATTTCACCATAAACAGTTCAGCATGCATCTCTCAAAGAAAAGGTTTGTTCTTAAACCATATGTGTGATGGATGTCATTATCACACAAAAAGTTTTAACAATTCATGGATAGATAAAATGTACCTCCTGGCCTTTTATTTCTTTTATTGTGAAAATATACATACATTTATATATGAGAGAGCTTTAAAAAGTTTGTATCTGAAAAATGGAATGAAAAGGGAACGGAATTTTTCCATGCACTTTTTGAAGCCCCTCATATACATATGCAATAATTGGCCATTTCAGCTGTATTTACATATACAGTTCAGTGACATTGTTATTGTTAAGTACCATTGAGTTAGTTTCGATTCATAGCGAGGACCCTGTACAGCGTTTTCAAGGAGTGACTGGTGAGCCTGAACCTCCAACCTTGCGGTTCAAACTGACGTTGCAATCCAGAGCATTATCCCACAGAGCCACACCAGGACTCAGTGACATTACCTTCTGGCTATTCTTAATTACTGTTTTGATGTGCTTGGCTCACTGGGTCTCTGGAGTATAGGGAAGCAGAACAGTCCAATGTACTAGACAATGGCTTTGAAGTGAGCTGGACACTTGCATGTAAACCTAATTTGTTACAACTAGTTCTGTGACCTTGACAAAGGTCCTTAATCCTGAGTCTTGACATCAAAGAAAAATGAAAACCTCATAGTTCAGGTGCACACTCACAGCTATTCATTCTAGCAATTTTCTTTCTTTTTTTTGCCTCTAAAAGACTTCCATAAAAATACTAACCAAAAATTCTTTCCTACAAGTTTGTTGAAAATCAAATAGCACAAATCAATCACAACTGCTTCAGTACAAGAGCACAGCATCTCCCCTCCCAGTAGGATAATCACATCTGAACACCAATGGTAGCATTTTGTATTATTAAAAAAGCAATGAAGAAAACACATGTATGTATCTAAAGAGAGTTGGCACTTTCTAACCCACACTCCCCCAAAGAGAAGGTTGTAATCAATTTATACAGACCGGAAAATTTCACATCTGTTAAAACATTACTCAACAGGACAAACACACGAGAAAGATGCAAAATCTCGACGCCACACATAATGCTTACTTTCTCTAAATGCCTTACAGTAGCCGAGGAAAGACAACGAAAAGAACAGGGCACACAGGAGGTCTGCACGGCCAACGACACCAGCCACCTTAAAAGAAGAAGAAAAAAAGTGTATGTAAGAAATGCTTAAACAAAGTCTGAACTTCAAAAATACAATTTAAAAAAGCCTCAGCAATAGAAAACAAAAAAAAAAAACTTAGGAGATGCTGTCTCCTACTAAAATAATCTGTAAAATTGTGTAACAAACCTGTGATTTAACTGCTTCCGTGAGAAAGCTGGGTTGGTTGGAACCTACCAATAGATGTTCTGTGAGCTGTGCACAGGCAGCAGAGCTATGCTATTGAACTCCCTCCACCCAGCAGTTCTGGAAGCCTTGCCTCTCATGTCCCCCGAGCGACCTTTCAATTGGAAAATGTTGTAAGCTCAAAGGGCATGGTATTGAAAAATAAAATTTGATAGCAAACATAAACGATATAAAGATGGTTCTGAAATGTGAAGAAGCCGTTCGAAGGGTTCCAGTGTTCGAAGCCGTAAGGGAGATAGAAAAAGCCGTAAGGGAGATAGAAAAAGCATTCAGAGCGGCCTCCGCAGTCCTCTCCTCTCTTTAGACCCAAATTGATTACTAAATGGGTCAACCTAGAAAGCAGAAGTCTCAAAAGTTATGAGCAAGTAAAAATAATGGAATAAAATTTACATAATCAGCAAGTAATCTATTATTTTGTTCTTCCCCTTTCTGTATCTGTTGACTGCCTTCCCCCTCCCTCTCCTCCCGCTGCTTCTTTATATTCAGCATAATAAAGCAATCTAAATTCTGTGTTTTATTCTTTAAGACTGATGGAACAGTAACTTCTGCACAAGTTTTACGGCAATGGAAAACTCAGAATTCCACGTGAGAGTGGGTCCACATCATATGGACTGCTTTCCTCACTAGCAAGTGATTATGACTATCAAAGGCTTTGCTGACACTGTCTAGGCATGGCTTTACTGACTGGTAGGTGAAGTCTCTTTTTTCAAAGGCTAGATAAATGACAGGTGGGACACATAACAAAGAACGATTTCATGAGTAGAGCTAAGAGGCACCACGAACATGAGAATTTTCACTGGAAATGATGAATTCACACATTGTAACTACATTTCCATGATTCCCAGATTGCTCGTAAAATCAAAACATACAACTCTGCCTTTCTGGATGGATCAGCTACATAAAATGCTGAGATCTGTTATTCACTTTGGTTGTAAACTCCCGATAGGGGTGAACATGTATAGCACATGGAGCTCATGTAATCACTAAGACCATACCAATAACACACACATGACAACAACTAATGGGAAGGAAGCTAAGAACAACATGGAGGCTCAGCTGACAGTGCGTGCGGGACTTCAACAATACAATCACTTCACCAATGAAACTCACTAAACTCGCATACATTAAATTCGCAGAACTAAACAGACAGGAAATCCCTGGGTAGTGCAAATGATTAACTCACTTAGCTACTAATGGAAAGTCTGGACATTTGAATCCTCCCAGAGGTCCCTTGAAAGAAAGACCTGGGAATTTTTTTCTGAAAAATCAGCCACTGGAACCGTACGGAGCATAGGTTTACTCTGACACGTGTGGGGCTGCTGAGACTTGCAGCTGACTGGGTGGCGTCTGGTTTTATTTGAAATTTTTTTTTTTTTTTACAGAACAGAGCCTGACACAGAGGATGCTGGCTCAGGGTTAGCTGCCCTCTAAAATCCAGAGTTCCATAAGGAGGAGCAGCCCAAAGGAAAAGGACCAAAGATATAAGCTCCAGAGGGATGTACTGGTGTATGCCTCCAAAGCACAAAGGGAGGAGTGAAGAAACAACCGAAGCATCCTGCCATTTGGTCCCTGTCCCAAGACTGAGAGCCCAGGAAAGCTGTAACTGCAGTTCCTGAAGAAAGAAAGGAATCCCAACACGGTAAAGAAGATAAAAAACTTAAGCCAATCCTGAGAAGATTGTCTAGAACAAGGGGATCAGATGGGGTGGGGGAGTCAGAACCAGGGAAAGAGGTTTAGGGGCCAACCTAAGTCACATATTATCTGGGTAATTATGGTACATTTAGGAATCAGCACGAAAGTGAATTTTTAAACAAATGTTCTTTATGTTACTAATTGGTGAAGAGGCTCCCAAGTCTTTAAGTAATGTATACTATATGCCCTAAGACCATCAATATAAAGAAAACAAAAATCCTCACCACTGGACCAATAAATAACAACAATATAAAAGGAGCAAACATTGAAGTTGTCCAAGACTTCATTTTGCTCATATCACCCATGGAATCATCAGACAGGAAATCAAAGGGCAGATTACCTTAGGCAAATATGTTGCACAAGACCTCTTCAAAATGTTCAAGGGCAAAGATGTCAGTTTGAGGACTAAGGTTTGCCTGATCCGAGCCATGGTATTTTCATATGCATGTGAAAGTTGGACAGTGAATAAGGAAGACCATAGAAGAATTCATACATTTGAGTTATGGTGTTGGAGGAAAATATTAAAAATACCATAGACTGCCATAAGAACAAACAGATCTGTGTTTGAGGAAGTACAGCCAGAATGCTCCTTAGAAGCCAAGATGGCCAGACTTCGCCTCCAATACTTTAGACATATTATTAGGTATTAGTCTTGATAAAATGGAAGGTCACCCAAAAAGAGGAAGATCCTCAATGACATAGACTGGCATAGTGGTAGCAACAATGGACTCAAAGGTAGCAATGATTCTGAGGCTGGCATAGGACTGGGCAGTGTTTCACTTTGTTGTGCATAAGGTTGCTATGAGTTCGGTACCATCTAACAATGGCATCTAACAACAACAAAATACCGTGAAGTAAAATAATTCTTTAAAAGTAGGATACCATGAATTAAATTGTTTCCCCAAAATGTGTGTCAAGTGGGGTAGGCCTGATTCCCAGTATTGTATGTTTGTCCTCCAGTTTGTAATGCATATAAATCCTAACTTCTAGATGTTAATCAGTGTGGGGTGTGGCTTACAAGAAAGTGTGACTCAAATCTCATGTTTCCTCTTCCTTGAGTCACATCAAGAGATAAATGGAAAGAGGAGTGAGCAGAGAGAAGGTACGTCACCATTACCAATTAAGAAGACCCAGGGTCCCTGCGCTGAGAACTTTTTAGACTTAGGAGAAGACTGATGCCAAGACACAGATCACCACAGATGTTGAAAGGAAACAAGGACCTTGGCCCAGAGCCCACAGAGAGAGAAAGTCTTCCCCTAGAGTTAACGCCCTGAATTCTGACTTCCAGCCAAAGAGTACAGCCTTCGGTATGGATTACATCTCAAC